GCAGAATTCTCAGTGCATCGTTGTAAGCTACCTGAAGTTTATGCAAGCTAGCTTTGCTGAAACTAGACCACAAGTGGGCATTGTGGAGAGGAGTGCAGTAAGCTCTGAACAAAGCAACTTTCACTCTATCTGTGCACCCACCAAACTTACGAGCCAAACTATTCGCCTGAGCATATATAGAGCGGCATTGCCTATAAACGTCAAGGTCATCCTTCAACTGGTCTGTAATGAGATGCCCAAGATACTTATATTTGCTCAAAACTATCAAGGTATTACCTGCCAATTTAAAAGGAGGAAACATTTGACATTTATCCTCCTTTGTTCTACAAATCATCACCGCACTCTTGTCTGTATTAAATTTTATGTCATGAACAGTTCCATAGTCAGAGCAAACATTAAGAAGCTGTTGAAGACCAGCACTGCTAGGACTGAAGACCACAAGGTCATCTGCATACATAATATGATTCACTAGAGTGTTACCTATCATACACCCAGTGTTACACAAATTCAAGCAGACAGAGAGCTCATCGACATACAAGTTAAAAAGAATAGGGGAGAGGATTCCACCTTGTCTGACCCCATTCCTGACCCCAAAAGGGGCAGAAACACAGTGGCCCCATTTTATAAACATAGACTGGTTGGCATACCAGTAGGTCAAACGCTTTTGAAGCATCAATAAAACTCATTAAAACTGAGGAGTTCTTATCTCTATACATATTAACAATTTCCTTTAAGGAATATATGGCCATATCTGTGCCATGTTTTGGTTTAAAACCAAATTGGTTGTCAGTAGAGGGGATAATGTCCACAATTCTGCTCAACAGGATGCTTTCAAAAACTTTAGACAATACACTGGCAAGGGCTATTGGTCTGTAGTTATCAGAGCAACCAACCTTACCAGACTTATCCTTGATCACCGGCACAAGCAAGACAGATATCATTGTATCCGGTAGGAAGCCATGAATTAAAAAAGAATTAAAACAAATACCAAGAAGGGGGGCTAACCTCATGCTGGCATATTTAATGTGCTCAGCAGTGATGTGATCCAACCCACTTGCTTTATTATCTGCTAACTTATTTATTGTGCATGATACCTCATGTGAAAAAATTGCCTTAAAGTCAACACACTTAATATTGTCAGACATATAAATATCACTTTTAACACAATTAAACAAGGTCCTGTAGTGCTGTCTCCACATCTCAGCAATATTCTCAACACCCGAGATACCATCTACAGTGCACGGGGGTGGTATACTACATTTGTTAAGACCCTTTACCTCCTTCCAAAATTCAATAGTGTGGTTATCCATTACCTTCTCGGCCATAGATTCTGCCCTCATAGCTTGCTCATTTTTATCAATAAATCTAACAGCATATTTATACGCTGCATTAGCATTTTTCTTTTGTTCAAACAGCGGCCCTTGCCTTGGTCTACCAGCCAACACCCATGATTTAAACGCTAACTTAGCTTCCTCATGATATCCGGCCACATACTTATTCCAGCCAGGCCTCATTTTACCCCTTTTGTTTTTCCGTTTAAAATAGGGTCTACTGCTTTCATACAGGGCTCTCACAACATGATCATATAGTGAGGAGATTTCCTCCCTGTGCTTCCAGATATTACAGGTAGGATCACTACACCTAATTGCATCACTGGGAAGACTGATTTTACTCAGCAATCTATTTGTATCAGCATAATAACCAGCAATATCCTCCCTTGAAAGGGCAGACCAATCCAAAAATTCAGTATTACAATCAGAACTATCACAAGAGAGCATTGGAATATCCTCAACATTTATCAATATAAGCACAGGCATATGATCATAGGTGGCTGCCCCATACAAAATGTCCATACCCACTATAGATGAGTGTGCATCATCTGTGCTGATACAGTGATCCAACCACGAGGCTGTATGCCAAGCCTCACTTATATAAGTATAAGTATTTGAGGGTAGAAACTCTTGACTTGATAGCTTTAGACTATTATCCTGACAAAACTGGATCATATGATTAGCAAACAGTGAATTTCTGTCCGCAATGTCAGCATTCATATCCCCAATTACATAAATACAAGAAGTATTACTACACTGAATAAAAGAATAAATAAAAGCAAGCCTATTAAGATATTCGGCTTCATTCTGAATACATTCATATGGTGTATAAACATTTAGTATGATGAGCTCCCTGCCACTGTAACTGAGCTGAACACCAATACACCAGTCTACATCAAGCCTAAGGACATTGACAAGTAAGTCAAGTCTCTTATTCCACAGAATGGCCACACCCCCAGGTATTCTACCCCTGATTATTCTCGAGCTAAGATCAGTTGTTGATTCCCCTGCACCGTGAAAATTGACATCAAGAATGTTTAATTTTGACAAGTCTTGCTTTGCCAGAAACGTCTCTTGTAAGCACAAAATGTCACAATTTTCCAAGAGATTGTCAATAACCAAACGACGAGCCCTGTCACCTGCGCCCTGGCCCAGACGCAGGCCTCGACAATTGTAGGACAAAACACGAAGAGGACCAGTCATATGAGTGAACTAGTAAGTGCTCACAGCACCAGTAGACCCACTTCTCAACTCAGCAGACAAAACAGCGTTAGTCAAGACAGCCGTAACTCCGGTAGCACCCACCCGGCGCGGCTCATAATATCGGCGGACAAATGCCCCGTCCGGCCAGAGCTCCGGATTGTACATTTCTCTGACCTCTTGACACTCCGCAGAAACTTTAAAAGAGCTATATCTGCCGTTGACATTACCGATCCGGTTGCATGACACCACACGTCCAAGCTTTTCACCAAGATAACCGGAGAGAGCTTCCGGATCCAGATCAGGAGCGAACTTAGAAGCAAACACACTCACCAGCTTGGTCTTGACAGTTCTGATGTTACCTGCAGCTCTAGTCCCAACAACAGACGTGCCTGATTTCTTCTTCTTCGGCCCAGAGATGACTGTGCGCACCCCGGGTTTGGCACCAGCGTGCACTGGGCCATGTTGTCCTCCCTTTTTAACAATCTGGCTCCACTTGGGCGAGCCAGGTAGAGCAGTTAAGCCTGCCGGGATTCCCGTGGGTGGAGCCCCTTCCAGGCCATGAGCTGGATCACCAGACTCAGCCCCCATTCCATCACGCAACGCCAGTCCACCCGTTGAGACACGTCTGAGCGCCGAGTCGTCCGGGCCGGCAGCACCTCCACCCAAGGCCATAGACACCTGGCCACCCCCAGAATCCAGGTCAGATGCTTCCAAAGCACCCACTCGCCGATTAATATCCTTAGTAACTTCCCGCAGATCCTCAGACACGTTCACCTGCAGCTGCATTACGCGCTTCAGGGCGCATACCTCAGATGCCAGCTGCTCCACTTTCCCGAGTAGACACGAGACATCCATGCTGGAAAAAGTTACCGGAGGCAGCTCTTCCAAATAGTGGGAGACAAATCTGGGTATATTCTCACCACACTCATTCAACACTTTGAGGCAGCTTTTTATGTTGTTAATGTCCTTCTGCGATCCTTTATGGGCAACGTTGCGCTGCGTGGTAGTGCAGAGATCAAACAAAACTTTCTTGGAAGACTCTATCCACTCTGAGTCAAATGTGTTTGTAGCCAGCAAAACAATCTCATCTTGATTCATTGTCTTCATTTTAACAGCAAGAAAGTTAAGCAACTCATCCTCAACAATGATCTTGCCATCCATAGTTCTATATATATCTGGTTTTAAACGCGGACGGCTAAGAATTCGAGCCGCCGCACCCAGACCCACAGAATCCGCCATTGTAATCAATGTGTTCTGAAGATGAACGAAAGTCTTACGGGGTTGGAACAACATGAGGGAGAGTAATTACTGACAGAATTTTCTTTTTTGGGTGAACTAACCCTTTAAACGTCATTTAAATAAACGAATATTCGATTTTTATGAGCCCGAATATTCGAATGTAATATTTTTGAAAAATGCCCATCCCTAATTATAACCAGTTTAAAAGTCCGATCTGAATGAAATTGCTAAACGGGTTAGTTTTGTAAACTGTAAACGGGGCTACTGACAAACTTCAGCAAGGTTAGTCTGACCCGGAGAGTCTCCTGGGTTGAAAGTTACAACAAAGCTAATTTTTTTTTTTTTTTTTTTCACCTGACCACATAACCCGTCCCGTTTGAAGTTCCAGTTACATTCAGTCAGTTACACTTCAAACGTTTTATGGTCTATAGATGAAACAAAAACAAAAAAAAAGAGCAAACACTTAAGTTGGGTTTTGGTGCACACACAGGGATAAAAAAGTACCCCATGTGTAAAATGAAATACTCTGCTGGACATATTGTTCAGATGCATGGCATCATGGATTCGATAAATACCAACAGATAAAAAATCTAAACCTGACAACTTCTGCTAGAAATCTTATAACGGGCCATGTTTGGATCTTCCAACAGAACAGTGATCCAAAAACAAACCTCAAAATCAAAACAAAAATGGATCACTGAGCACAAAACCAAGCTCCTGCAATGGCCATCCCAGCCCCCAGTCCTGGACCCTGTAGAAGATGAGTGGGCTGAACTGAAGAGAAGAAGCGCCAACATGAACATGTGAATCTGAAGGATCTGGAGAGATTCTGTATGGAGGAATGGTCCCTGATTTCTTGTCAGGGGGTCTCTTGTCCAAACTCATCAGGCATGATAAAAATAAATGCTTTTTTTAGATACTGTTGCATAATAAGGTAATATAAATAAAATCTTTTCATTGTGTAAAATTAATCTGAACTGAAAACACGAGAATTGTTTTTCCTAATTTGATGCGTGGTGTCGTAATAACAAATGCCCAAGGTGAAAGCAGGATCGTCTCAGGACGAAGCAGCATTAGTATTTGTCTGGTCATGTGATCTCAACATGTCTGTTCACACTCAGTGTCAAATATAACCGCATTAATTAGGACACTCTTCAGAAATATCACTAATTTCTGTAGAGCTGGATATTTTAATAAGGATCAAATGACTTTGAAAATGAGACCAACCTGTTTGTTCTTCAGTATCTTCATGTTTCACACTGAATGTTTCTTCAATCTTCAAGTCTTCACTCTCCTCTTTTATAAACGCCATCTTTATAATAGTCACGTGGATCTCAGGCGCTTCACCAGGAGTTTTTCTGTGTGTTTGTCCTGTTTAAGAAGAGAATAATTAACAGAAATCAATCAGCTCTAGTTCAGTGCACTGGTAAGAGACTCAGTTAGAGTGAGAGTTAATGGACTTGAAGAGTTAATGAGTTAATAAAAGAATGCAAACTTCGGACATTTCATATTTAGCTAGTTATTGTTTTCATTTGATATTTAATGATTTGTAGATTACATATAATAGACAAATGTAATAAATACATATTACTTAAAAGATGAAGCTTTCATGAAAAGAAACATTTGCAATTGATTTGCGACGTGACGGTGACGTCAGCGCGCGCTGTTTCGAGCGCTACAAATGAATCATTTAGTGAGTTGGTTCAAACGACTCGTTTCGAATTGCTCATTTTCTCTCCTTCACCACTAACCAGTGTGTGAATTAGTGTTTACGATGAGCTGATTCACGAAATAGGGAGCGAAATGAGACGCACTCTTTCTGTTGCTCACGTGGGGATGAGCTTTACTCACAAAAATATCCTTCATCAATGTTAGATAAAACACTACAATGTTACATTCAATAATAAATAGTTAGTTTTGCAGTTCTTGTAATAACTAGAAATTTTCATTAACGGTTTGCATTAAGTAAAACAATTAAAATGCTTAAAACACAAACCTGTCTTCAGCCGAATCACAACAGTGGCAGGAGCTCGGCGCACCGTTAAGACGTCACATCGGATTACCAAAACAAAAGTCCTGTTCACAACTTCACACGCTAAAATCTCTAAAGTGCATGGAAATGTGCAAAAAAACAAACAAACATACAAATAATAGAACACGTCAGAGCATTCAGATTTAAATTCTTGGTAAAATATATATTTACATGCATGTGATCTGCTAAAAAGAACTATTAATTTTGTACCACAAGAGTTTGTACCACATCTATGTGAAATTCTGTGTAATAGACAAAACAGTAATGTTTGAGTGTAGAAACCATTTATTTCATTGTAGAGTGTAGAAAATGTTGAGTGTTTTATTATTTCATTGGTCGGGGACCTTTTTTTTTAACAATACCAACCTTTTTTTAATTATTATTTCATTTTTGTTTGAAGCATTACTTGATACAAAAAAACAAAAAAATTTACTATTATATTATAAACATGTGTGAGTTTGTGTCTCTCTGATTTATTTTCCTTGATGTTTTTTTTTTTTTTTTTTACTTATATTTAGTTATATAAATACACACACACACGCACACACACACAATATTTTTAAATAATTCAGCTAGAACCGGCTGTGTCGTCGCCGACACATTCCAGCAAGCTGTATTCAATTTACCGTAACTCTTCAACCAGTACTCTGGGACTTTAAATGAGCTAGATTGAAACTTCAAGTTCTCTTGTTTAAAATGATAAATGGCACTTGATGCTGACTTCTAGAATCACACACTTCACTTACTCTCTCTTTCTCACTTACACACACACACACACACACATCTTCACACAGACAAACTCTCTCTCTCTCTCTCTCTCTCTCTCTCACAAACACAAAATCTCTCTCTCACACACACACACACACACACACACACACATCTTCACACAGACAAACTCTCTCTCTCTCTCACAAACACAAAATCTCTCTCTCACACACACACACACACACACTCTGTCAACGAATGTGTTCACAAATATTTGACATTGAAAGCCCCTAACCTCACCTGTCCATCTATCTACAGGATTTCTTATTGCTGTAATAAATCAAAGGAGCAAAATCCTGCAACACGAGGACACTATTATATATTATATATATTATATATACTGCTTTGGCCACTTGTGAGCAAAATGCCATATGTTATAAAATTAAAAATATCAGTATCAGCATTTATGATCACGTTAATTATAGTTAAGGTCATAAATATCATGGTGCAAAATAATAATGTTTTAAATAAGAAGGCTGAATTTATTTGATCAAAAATACAGTAAATCCCTAATGTATCGAAATATTACATTTTAAAATAACGTTTTTGCACTATAATATATATATATATATATATATATAAAATTATTCCTGTGATCAAAGCTGAAATTTCAGCTTCATTACTCCAGTAATGTCTTCAGTGTCACATGATCCTTCAGAAATCATTACTAATATGCTAGTTTGCTGATCCCAATCTCCCAGATGATGAGCTCCTCTCTAATGGTGAACACCTTGGTCCAGTACCATTTGTGTTTGTAGGAGATTAAGCATTTCCTCTTCTAGAACATCTTCTGAGACACACAAACACACAACAGGTCAACTACCCTTCAGTTTCAGTTTCTCTGAGCTCATGCAGTCAAGCACATCCCTTCTACGGTGTAGTGTCTAGAAACCACTCAGTTTTAGCATGCCTGGTACTGCCTGCTTCCCAGGAAAGATGTCACCTTGATGCCATTAAATGTCTCTGTAGAATCCCAATATTTGCCTCCATGTCAGTGGTACCTTCACTCACATGCAAGTCACTCATGCCGTTTGCACTGATGCACTTACATACAATGACAGATTTGCTCAGTTTGCTTTTGCGCTGATGAAAGTCTGGATGGTCCTTTTTGACTTTCAGACTGAGAACTTAAAGTCAGTTTTCCCCAAAACAAGCTGAAATGTGGACTCATCTGACCACAGTACAGACTTCCACTGTTTTGAAGAATCTGATATGATCACGGCTCCAGAGAACTGGGCAGCATCTCTGCATTGAACAGAAGTATAGTTTAAATACAAATATTCAAGTGGGATTTCTTGATGCAGCGGCAGAGACCTTTTCAACGTAATTGCGTATTACGTGACGTCACGAACGCGCATCACAGAACAGAGCAAGGCGAGCATTTGTGCTTATAAAACTTAAACTTTTTTATTTATTTTTTAAATGACCGATCGTTTCGCTAGATAAGACCATTATTCATCGTCTGGTATCGTTTAAAGCCCTTTGAAGCTGCACTGAAACGGTCATTTGGACCTTGAACCGTTTGGACCCCATTGAAGTCTATTATACGGAGAAAAATCCTGGAATGTTTTCATCAAAAACCTTCATTTCTTTTCGACTGAAGAAAGACATGGACATCTTGGATGACGTGGGGGTGAGTAAATTATGTTGTAAAGTTTTTATTGAGCATATATATATCTTATACAGTTTTCAATCAACAGTACGAGAGAGGCTCAAATATTTTTATATAACTGTACATATAAACAAAAACAAACAGAGCGGAAGTAGAATACAGTTTTGTAGTAGGAAGTACAATAATAATTAAAGCTGCAAGCAGCATTTAGCGGTGTTCAAGCAGTTAAGGCCTTTAAGGCCGTTAAGCACAAAAGCATCAAAAGACATTAAGTTTTATGTAGCAAGCATTTAACCATTGACATCATAGATGGAATAGACCATGTTTTAGCATGATTTACCATGATATACCAAATTTAGTGTGATTTTTCATGATCTACCATGTTCCAGTATGATTTACCATGAATCTAGCATGATTTAACATAGTTTACCATGATTTACCATGTTATAGGATGATTTACCATGATATACCACATTCTAGAATGATTTACCAGGATTGTAGCATGATTTACCATGATTCATCACATTGCTAGCATGATTTGCCATGATACACCATGTAATAGTATTTTTTACTATGATTTACCATGTTTCTATGGTGATTTACCATGATTTACCACATTGCTGCATTGATGTGAAGTGCCAATAAAAATGAAGTGATAAACTCTGACAAAAAATGATTGTGTTATAATAGTTAACATGGAAAAACTGGTTTGCTTTAGTGCTTTGATTTACTGTTGAAAATCAAGTGTGTCAAAATGAGAGTGAGCCAATAAGTGGTCTTCTACTGCCCTCTGCTGGCCATTCTACTTATTAATAAAGTGTTTTCACAGGTGCTTTTGCACTCATATGTAGACATTTGCTCACACACACACACAAAGTCATTATGAAAATATATTTTAATGGTCTATAAGCATTTAATGTCTTTGCAAGCTATTAATCAGATTATTCAGAATTTATTCAGAAACATGGGACTACACACACACACACATTCTATTGTAGATTAAACTGTCTCATTCAGGGTTCACATTTGTCAATGTGACAATGAATTTTGACTAAATGTGATTGTAAATGTTAAAATGAATTATAGAACAATGATAGTCAGCATTATGACAAAATTACTATTTTAAACAGCAGGGGGCAGTAAAACACCACTTATTGGCTTAATATGCCACTATATTCATATCATTTTCACCTTTTAAACTGTTATAGAGGCAAATTTTGTCCGATCTGTCTAAAATTTGTCAAGCTTGTTTAGAGTGATATGTCCTGACCTTTTTTTAAGAAGATCTGAGCATTCATTGAAGAGATATAGGTTTTTGGGGACATTTGGTCAAGGCTACATATTGAAGTGACCCTATTATAGCCATCCAAATTAAGAAGTTATACCTTTTCTGATCATTATTGATCTAGAGAGTCCAGAGAATTGTACTGCACTGGTTTTAAACATTATGATATGAAAAGTATACGATCATAGATGGAAAAGAAAATTTACAGCCAATACAGGCAATTTACCATAGGAAATGTATGGTTTTAAAGCTTTTTAACAGTTATAGCGCCACCTATGGTCCGATCTCCATCAAACTTTGCATGCTTGTTCATGATGTTATATCACATATGCTTACCAATTTTTGTGAAGTTCTGAGTTTTTATTTATGATTTATAGGCTTTTGAGTGTATTTTGACACGCCCCTTTTCTTAATGACCCTGTTATAGCGAACCAAAGGGCAAAGTTCAACTTTTTTTTGATAATTATTTATCTAGAGAGTCCAGAGAATTGTCCTAGACTAGTTTGGTTCCGATCGGGCGAAAAACCAGGGACTAGTTCGCAAAAGTATGTTTAGGACAAAATTGGCCATAACAAATTTTTTGCTCAAATCGAGAATCCGAGATATACATCTTGTCCGTCTTGAGCCAAGGAACACAGTGGTGTACAAATCTTGATTCTAGGTCATACGGTC